GTTCAATATCGATACGAGTATCGTTGCACCCCTAGAAATGAGGTGTGCTATTGAAACGTGTTCTGTGATGTGACAAATCTGATGGACGAGTCTGGGTTAGGCGAACGGAGAACATTACCTGAAAGACTGTGCCAACTATAAAGTTTGGTGGAGGAGAGATAACGCTGCGGGGTGTTCTTCTGGGGTTGACCTGGGTCTCTTAGTTTCAGTGAAAGGAAATCGTAATGCCTCCACTTACCGAAACTTTTTGGACAATTCTGTGCTTCTAACTGTGTGTGAACAATTCGGGGATGGACCACCTTTGACTCTGCCCCAGTGCAAAACAGAGGCTCGCAAAGACACACCTTTAGGATCAACTCGAAAATCAGTGTTTGTCTTTTCAAATGTTCTTCAAAATGGGCAAAAGTCCCCACACGCACTTCAAAGTCTTCTCAAAGGAGCGTTGTAGCTGCAAAGGGAAACCAACTCCATATTAATACCCAAGAATAGATGTAGCATTTAGGGGGCATGATATTTTTGTCCACGCAGTGTTGTGTTTCATTTAAAAAGCTCCAAACAGCACCAAGGCAACATTTAAGGCCCTACCAGCACAGGAGAAAACTGCTTTTCGAGGCTTGATGCTTGGTTTTAGTATTAAGGCCTTTATACACCAGACGAGTGAAATTAGTGCAAATATTTTGGACACTCAAATATTCTTAACGCAGCTCTTCACACCAACCAGACGTGGTCCCAACTCTGCCAACAAGAGCTCAAACAGCCACACTGACATCCTGACATCTACCACAAAAGTGGTAGATGATACAGCTTCAACTCCTGGATCAAACCATGAAATTCTCCCTGCTGCTGCCTTCTGCTGAGAATCGAATCCATCTGGAAACTTTCTTTTTAATCCTTGCCTTCTTTAGAAACATCAGGACCAGGCCATCATAGTCATTGTTTCCACTCAAAATGTTCCTGTATTCACACACGAACAATTTTGAATTTTGTGTCATTTTTTTTTGCAGAACTCGGTGTTTAAAGCTCTTTACAAAAAGGTTTAGTCTAAACACACCATAAGAAGAAGTGTATGTGTGTGTGTGTGTGTCTAAGAGTGTCCTGAGAGCAGGGAGCCCAGTGTGTCGGATTCCTCTCGCCGAGGTTCAGTCAGCAGTCTGGAGCGAGAGAGTCCGGAGCCAGGGGAGGCCAGTGAGGACGAGCCGCTGCACTACCAGCACTACTACCCCTACAGCTACACCCACAGGGTAAATATACGCCCCTGCTTCCCCACAGCTACACCCATGCTACCACTGACTTACAGAATCAATAGTACTGAAGATGTTCGTATCCATTTCACATACAGCCAAATTTTAGCTTTGCCTCCCGATCTTCAAATCGCTCCCAGCTTTCAGACACAGTCTCACGCTGAACAAATAGGAGTTTGTTTTCTTCTTTTAATGATATTAAACAGCTGTGGCATCACACAGCAGCAGGAAGCAGTTTACGCAGGTGTTACGGCAGCAGGGACTCCATCAGTTACTTTCCTGACGTTTCACTGTGGTCTCACAAAACCAGCTTGAACGGGTTTCAGTACAACAGCTGACGTGCTGTGCTTACACACAGCGATTATTCTCCAGTGCGCTAATATTTGCAGTAATGGTGTGACGTTGCATTCACTGAACTCATCTAATTGCCTAAGTAAATGAAAATAAGACAGCAGATGGTAAGCCTAATAAAAAGTAATTACAGTAATACATTTGCTCAGTGGTTCTCCAACTTTTTTTATTTATTTTTATTTCTTTTTCTTCTGCCTGTAGTCTGCTGGGGAATGTTCCCTTGTCACAAATTCCAAATTAAACCCTTTTTTCATGGTACTGGATAAACATACTACTCACTCAATATACCACCACTCCCACTGTTGCCACTACTGCAGAGTAAATATGGAGTAAATGGAGCATCATTTCAGTACAGACAGTTCACAAAATAAAGCTCAGCCATCATCCTGGCAAATGGAACAATCTCCTACAGACCTGTCGACATTCATTGATTTATAGTGACTTGTTTAGAGAGTCTCAATCCAATCTGCAAGCCTCTTTGCAACCGACCTCCAGATACTCCATTCATGCTCTTCCTAACTTAATCATTTATGGAGCTGTTGTTATGGCTGCCCTCTCTATTCTGTGAATTCTGTGAATATTCTTTAAATACACCCTCACAGGGTAAACACACAGTATGTTTTTCCCTATCAGTTACTTTATAGGATGAATTTAGCTACCCATAGTGTAATTTTACATGCCTGCTACCATCACTGCTAGTACAGATGTTTTACTACTACCCAAACAAGTTAAACCCTTTTAATACTCAATCACTATCCCACAGAATGCATAAGTATCCCTATCACACACTAAGCTAGTCAAACAACATGATGTACCTCCCACAGGGTAACCTCAACAACCTCTGGGGTGCTCAGCTCTGCAATAGCAGATAATGCAATGCTGCCCCCTTGTGGAGAATTGGCTAACTTTGACTCAGGTGCGTTAACAAAACTGTCAAAACTCTCAGAATTATTTTTCAGTGTTTCACTAGTTATTATGGAGATTATTTTAATAATCAGTCAAACATTTCTTTTGCCAAAGAGAAAGTAAGAAGTAAAAAATAATGCCCGCCACGATTTCCATATATCCAGTTAGAGTTTGAAAAAACAAACAGTTCATCTGTCCCAGTCCATCCCTTCACCTGTTTTCATAAATCTCTCAGTCATATAGACTTACCAGCAGTAAATCTGTGACTCACCCACACTGCAGAGAGACCATCTGTATAATTCCTGGTGGAAGATGTGTTTACCAGTCGCCTCGCAGGTCTTTTGATTCAGGATCTCACCGGAGTGGAGCAGATCGGCCGAGCGGAGGAGCGATGCTTTCAGTGTTTCTGTTTCTTTACAGGGAAACATAATGACATAGAATTAGCCTGCAGGCTTCCTATACCTGCCTGACAGAGCGAAGCTGCCTCATTAATCTGAGAGAAGGCAGAGAACAGACCGGCCCTTAATCTGTCGCATTGTTCCTCTGACAGGAAGAAGCCGAGTGTACATGAATAAAAGAGTGTTTTAGCAGGTTAATTACCATTTACCTCTCTCTTTGTGTGTGTGTGTGTGTGTGTTTTTGTGTGAAACACAATGTGTTATTATGAACAGGAAATGAGCATTTACGTGGACTGCGAGGATAAAGGACTTCCGGCTGCAGTGAACATGAGGCGATGTGCAAATAGAGGCTAAAGCAGTGTTTTAATTAACCCACTGTCCTGTTAAGAGTAACTTTCTCTTTCTGTTTTCAGATAAAGCCGTCTGATCAGGAGGAGGACCTGTGATGCTGCAGTTCAGGTATGAAGGTGGCAAGCTGCCTGTTCCTTTGAAATGAACCTGTTTTGCTTTTCTTTTGTTTTCTTTCAGGTGTGTCTATCTAATGGTGGATGCTCAAATTAAACACAAACTGAAAATTGGGTTTGGGTTTGGAGGGCGTTGTGCTTTAATTTATGGCTGTAGACATAACTGAGCTGTCTGTGCATTTTTGAGCATCTTCATTGAAATTATTTAGGAAATAATAACTGTGAAGGATTACACCCTTACAGTTTATTCAATTCAATTCAATTCAATTCAATTTTATTTATATAGCGCCAAATCACAACAAAAGTCGCCTCAAGGCGCTTCATAGATACAGAGAAAAACCCAACAATCATATGACCCCCTATGAGCAGCACTTTGGCGACAGCGGGAAGGAAAAACTCCCTTTTAACAGGAAGAAACCTCCGGAAGAACCAGGCTTGAACCAGGCTTTATGAATACAGCTTGTTAACCACTTCCGGCTCAATAATGCTAATGCACTCAGTCCAAAAGTAATGTGTTCTATAACAATTGTCTTTTTATTAAGCAGGGCCAAACTTTCAAATAAAGGATCCAGCATTTGTACGAGTATTCCTCATGAGACTTAGTTTTGGACATTTGTTTCCACTCTTTGAGCTGCATCATGTCAAAGATAGAGATTATCCATAATATCGGTCATCTCAGGCACACAGCTCTAGCTGTGAGCACAGAAGCCCCGCCTACATACAGTTTAAACCTTCTGTTTCCAAGGAGCAGCCAATCTGAAGGAAGATGGGTTAAAAAAATTAAAAAAAATCATGCAGAGCTACTCTGGTAGAGTCCATTAATAAAAATGTGCAAACCTACACTTTAATGTTAGGTCAATAAAGAATAAGTGCCATGTGTACATGTGCATATAAACATACAGATGTTTGCACTCACTGTGCATTAAGCCATGTTTCTAGAAGTTTTTATCAAGATTTGTTCACTGGCTTAGGAGGCGATAGGGGACGTACAAATATAAATACACTACGATCTTTAGAGCATGAGATGGAGCTGGAAATGAACAGAATACGTCCTCTTTAATAGGTTTTGGACAAAAATGGAGCTCAGAAGGAAGAGCAGTATGACGTAATAATAATATGATATGACATAACTTTAAATATTCTTTTATTTTAGAATCATTTAAACTATTTCCAGATCTTTCCTCTACCGTAACGTAGCACTTACTTTGCTGTGGAAGACTTCAACTAGCTCTTACATCAGTTGATTTTTGCAGTTAACGTGTGTTTGCTCAAAGAATGCAAAAAACGGACTGTTTCCTGTGTGTTTCTGAGTCTTTGTAAGTTTATCCTTTGTGAAACAAACTAAAGCCAATGACTGTTTGGTGGTAAAACACATGGAAACACATTCGGCAGTGGTCAGCAGTAATGGGAAGTTGGACATTTGCGCATTAAGTATCTAACCCTATAATGAAGATAGATCTGCTTTCTCTTTCCTTTACTGCCCAATACCTACACCACATAGTTAATGGACTATAAAAAATAATAAAATAATTGTAGACACGGTAATCTCACCCATCAGTTTGACAAATCTTATTTTTGAAGCCTCGTGCTGACTTTTCTCCCCATCTTAATTTTTCGAAACAAGACGGTGGAGGGTGGAGCTGAGAAATTGAGGGACAGTTAACACTCAAAAAATAGCAACAAGAATATTAATGGTGGCCAAAATTAACATCATATTGTTTTTAGTAAGACTTCAAATCAAATATTACGACTGTAAACTCAACAGCAAAGTGTTTCACCAAGGTACAAATCCTGGGAACAGATCGCACTTTTTCCTTGTACTTCTATGGAACAGCCAATATTTTGCAGCAAGAGGAGTCGCCCCCTGCTGGTCATTTAGATTTAAGTCACTTCATGATTAGTCATTTTGGTGGATAAGAAGGACACATAAACCTTATTGTAGTTTAAACCAAATCTTTAAAATCATCAGGCTCCACTGATATTGACCTTAAAGTGTATTTCATGCCAACTTATGAGTTTTTTGCATGTTTTACTCTCTCTTTGTGTCCTGAAGATCCTGTGAAGTCTTGCTTCAGATTCCTCTCATGTTCACTTCCTTCCAGAAGCAGACGCTCAGATCTGTAACAGCTGGGATGGACGAAGCTTCAAGACGACGCTGGCAACACGACCTGCATTTGGACTGACTCTCCTCCACCCCTGATTTTTGATTTTTTCACATATCTTTGACATTTTTATTATGTTGCTACGGTGGCCCTGAGCGGCCAAACGAACTGCAACTTAAGAAAACACCAGCAATAAGAAAAACGCTGCAAAAGCACACAAAACACAACGGAAACAGGAAAAACAAAATATAAATATGAAAAAGGAAACAGAAATAGGAAAAAAGCCAAGGGAAGTTTCTGGGGAGACAATAACCTAACACACTTTTTTTGCTGGATTTTTAGGCTAATAGTTAGGCTAACACACTTACCTCTCATCTTTTCTTTCATCATAAAACCAATAGATCCTCAACTTCTTTTAAGTGTCTCCCAGTGCAATTCTTAGCATATTTTGGTTCCTGCAACGTGTTATTGTCTCCCCAGAAACACTTCCCTTGTGCTTTTGGAAATCTGTTTTTTCCTATTTCCGTTGTGTTTTGTGTGCTTTTGCAGCGTTTTTCTAATTGATGGTGTTTTCTTAAGTTGCAGTTCGTTTGGCCGCTCAGGGCCACCGTATGTTGCACTGCCCTCACCTATGTTTTCCAGCATAGAATGCCGGTAAAATCAACATTGACACATTAGACAATATCTGAACATCATAGAAAAGTTTAATAAAACATACTGATGGTTCTGCAGCTAAATACCTCCTCACAGCAGATTATTTTATTTTGGCCTCTGGGCCGACACCTCTGCACCGCCAGA